TTTTTTTTTTTTTTTTTTTGAACTAGATGAAAACTAGTTTGGAAGAAGCAAATTTTACATATTACATAATTATATCCTACACCTCATCAAAATATGTAGATTATACAGGACTTAAATATCAAGTGATTCATAAACAAATCAACTGATATGTAATGGTATTGTTTCAGGAACTAAAAGGTTTAATTTGAGTTGCGGTCAAAAGTTTTTAAAGGCGAATGCGTAACTCGAGGATTTTTTTTTATTTTTTATTGGCACCGGGTGTCCGGATCACAGTCTGACTAATTCCCAAGGGTGCACAGGCCCTCGGCAAGGAGCTTTCCGCAAGTGGACCATGGTTAATTCAAGGGTTTTCCCCCAATTTGATAGCTCCAAGAAATTGCTAGCACCTCAGAGGTTTCGATCCCTGAACCTTGGAGGGAGCACACCCCCAAGACCCAAGGCTTTGCCTCCAGGCCAACCCCTTGGGGTTTAACTCGAGGGGAGGCGTAAGCCTTAATGCGTTGAGGCATAAGCCTTCAAAATTTATATTTTAATATTTAGTTATTAAATCAAATATTTTAAATTACTAGATAAATAAAAAAAATTACTAAAATATAAAAGTGTAAATATTTTTCTCCTTAGATTAAACATTTCACTATAGAGAAGGAAACTTGCCTTCATTAAAAGTGAAATCATTAGCTTTAGTGATTGAACTTCTCACTTGACCATTAACTGTATTTTTTCTTGATTGATCATTTCCTCTTATAGAATATAGTTGCAAAAATGGTTCTTTTTATTTTTTGCTTTTTTTATGTTTGTTTCATCTACTAGACTAAGTTTAACAGGAGCCTAGGGGAACTTCTTCATATGCCCTCATATGCTTCTGTGCAAAAAATGTACAAGGCTTGACTATGATGCGCAATCCTTTGGGAAACATAGTCTAAAAATCAAAGCCTTGATATGTTTTACCTTAGCCTTGAGGCAAGGTGAACATTAGGGCGAGCCTCAGTAAAACCTTTTAATACTTTGGTTGTGGTATGAAACCCAAGAAGTAAGTATACAGACAACACAGCAAGTTCCAAATACAACCACAGTTGAGTCATGGCTAATTATCTATTTAATATGAAATTAAAAATAAATTATTGATTTTTTTTACATAGCAAAATTTCTATTTACTATATGAAATAATAACAAATACTTCATGTTCTACATATAAATGTTGAAAAGAATTAGGAAGAGAACTTAATGTTTTGCTTTTAGAAGTCACAATTGACGAACAATTTTGAAGTTGTAAAAGTTCAGGGTTCTAAATATTAAAAATCCCAAATGATCGATAAATATATAAATCCATACTGCTAATTGTTCTTTGAACTTTTCAAAAAACCACATGTTCATACTTTATACATCATATTCTATGAAGCACGGACACTTCATCTGACGTAACATATCAGTGTCCAACACGTCTGGGACACAAATATGTTCGAAGACGCGGCAGATATGTGTTGGACACACCCTCTCGTGTCCCATTTTTTTCACTTTTTTTGGTTGCTGGACACACCTCTGACATTCTCCGGACATGCGTGTCCCTTTCTGGAACAATCCTTGGACATGATGATGGCCTCAAAAAAAAAAAAATCACTGATTTTGTTCATGCAGCCTGCAGGAACCCTAGATCTATGATTCAAAGAAAAAGTAGAACTAATCATGCCAGCATAACCACAATTAATGTTAAAAAAAGAAAAGGCAAAAGAAAAAGAAACGTACTTACCTAAGTTCAGCTTAGTCTTCTTCAACAAATCTTTACTTTTTTATTAGGGTTTGTAACCTTTACATCTCACCAAATAGGCTAGGCTGTAATACTCTCTTTTTTGTTGGTATATTGTACACCTGTTATGGGATTTGTTGGGTGTTTTATTCTACATTTCTATCGATCCAATTCATTATGCAAGGCTTTGTATTTGGATCTTAGTTGCACGAAGCAGGGGTGGGGGAGAGAGAGCATATAGAAGTTTTTAAGATTGGGAATACCTATGGAAGCGTGTATATATTTCATATATTAAATGTATAAATATATTCTAACAATTAATTTTCTACGTAGACATAAAATATGTATTAAAATATGAATAAGAATTTGTGATTAATGTCAATTCCAAATTGTTTTGTCAAGTATGAATACACATATTATATAAATAGAAAGTACTATCATTAGTTTAAGTTGTTATTCTTTTGTTTCTTTAATATTTGTATGTTTTTCGTTTCTATCTCAGTTGAGAGCTAGTTTCTTCCTTAACGGAAGGGAGTTTCTTACAAGTTTCTTACTTGGAAGCACAGAAACACGTTTCTCAATAAGAAGCGCCACCTCAATAGAAGTTTTCTGCTACTAAAATTTGGATATCATCAAGCCCATCATTTCAAAAGAAGATACGTGGAAAAGAAATATTGCAAACGAAAAAATAAATAAATAAACTAGTTTATTATTAGATAAAAACATGTCCAATAAAAAAGAAAAAAGCATAAAACTCAATATTAATTTAGTATTTTTGAAATTCATGAATATTGTAATATATATGGCATATAAAATATATAAAAATGTCTTTTCACGCGTCCATAGACATGTCGTGTCTTGCTTTTTTGAAAATCGTTGTGTTGGCAAATCCGAATCATGTTGTATATTTGTCACGTGTCAAGTGTCTGTGTAATAGATGGACCTAATCATGGATAAAGTAGCAGTGACCTTTGGAAAAAAGTGCACCTTAACACATTACCAGACCATCCCACTTAAAATAATGCAATCAAATTTGGCATATAGATCCTTAAGGCACAATGAAGCACAAAAGTGTAAAGCTATCCTCAAATTACCAAAAACTAATATACCATTTCATTTGGCCCCTATCCCTCTGAATCATATGACAGGACAAAAGGAAGCAACATACCATGAGCTGGTGATTTAAGACAACTTCCTCACTTACTGAAGAATAAAGGGCACTCATTAGTGTTGCACACAAGGTGGCATCTGGGCACATACATTCACCAGAAGGCAGACAGAGCATTGCAATGGCATGCAATTCTAGGAACAAAGGTTCTACTGATTCATAAACACGATCTTCAGTGGGAACCAACAATGGATTTTCTTTTCCTAAAAAATAAAATATATCAATTAATTCAAACCTGAAAGCTCAGAAGTGGAAGAACATAAAATGATGTGACCAAGTCAACGATCCGTAATAAAAACTACACAAATAAACATCCTGGCTAATCCAATGATCTCTACATGCAATGTTTGTAGCATATAGTTAAATCAACTCACTCAAGAGCAGTGAAAATGATGAATTTAGTGTTTCCTTAGCTGCGGCAATCGCTCTTTGCTTTTCCTCGACTGACAATTCAAGGGGAGAAACTTCCACATTCTCTAACTCAACTTTCAGCCAGTTGCGATAAGTTGCATCACAAGAGTAGTACTCGCTCTGATTTAATGAAACATTGTACAAACTTGCAGTCTTAGAAGTGATAATGTATCGAGGCCAAAAAAAAGCATAAACAACATTAAGTGCAATGAACAAAAACAGATCTAAATAAACCATACCCAGTCCTAGAACTCTCTTAGGTTCTCAGAAACATCATGATCCTTAGTAGAAAGAAGAGTTTCAGTTGGCTGTTTCAAAGGCTCAGCAAGAAAACTTAGCAATGTGTGGACACCTATGGGCAACATGGAAATAAGAGCAAACTCCCTGAACAGTATGTTGCTACAATAACAATGAAAGATCAGTATATAGCAAGCCAACAAGATGAGAACAAGCAAATAGGTAGGTAAGAAAAATAGTGAAGTAATTAGTCAAGCATATATAAGAATAATGCAAGAAGAGACCACAGTAGCAGACAATGGGAGAAACTAGACAAATTCAAACCACAAATAGATGGTAGAGCTTAATCAAAGGAACAAGAAAAACATGTTCAAAACCTGGGTTACCAGAAAACCCTAATACCCTAACAAATTACGTATTGGTATGCACGTTCCAAAACATGGTACATTTCCGTTCCAAAATGATAAATTTAGTGATCCAAAGCGATTCCAAAAGTTTTTTTCAATATATGTCCTTAAATGTTACCTTAGGAGGAAAAATATCAAATATAATGAACTAAAATCTAAGGTGAGTTAAGTTTTGACAAGACAAAAATATCAACAAAAAAAAATGGGTCATAATGCTAATAGAAAATATTACATTTATTGGATGTCTAATAGTTTTAAAAAAATTATTTTAGAAGTACCTTAAATTTTTAAGTACAATATATGCAAGTCTACCCCTATCATACCACATTTTAGAGCATGTGGCGTACCACGTGCCCATTCTCGTTCCCGTTCCACGTACTGGAACGATCCATGTCCCAGGTAACATAGTTCAGAACCCAGAAGCACTAGCATTAAAGACAATATCACAAATGTAATTGCTTCCAATTTTAAATCATGTAAAGAACAAAAATAAAAATAAAAATCACTAAGCTCTCATCATTCACTGAAAAAAAACATTTTTTACATGATTTGTGGACATGTATACAAGTATCGAATGTCAGTACTAGAACCAAATGTATGATATGGAAAACCCCACAATTCAAGACACGGGGAAAATGACTCATATTTGTATTCATCTAAGTTCCATTACCCTTGTACTAAATACACTCCTGTAACTTGGTAGACATCAGATGGGTAAAGAAATTTATAACCAGGTGAGGCCAAAGCCAATTAGCTAGTGTTGGTTCGACCTATTGAAAGTATTAGGAGAAAGTCAAATTTAAGCATAACTATATGGGTGAGAAGGAAATTACCTAGTGTTGATTTCTCCAATATGGGGAACAGATCAAACTAGGAACAAACCTCACATTTGGCGTAGGTACAAACAAAACCTTTTGTAATTTTTCAACAAAGTGACTATCTTCATGCCCAAACCTTCATACTCACACTTGATAACCCACATTTATCCATAATTTGGTAGAGCCATTCACATTGAGTAATTAGTCAAGCATGTATAAGAATAATGCAAGAAGAGACCACAGTAGCAGACAATGGGAGAAACTAGACAAATTCAAACCACAAATAGATGGTAGAGCTTAATCAAAGGAACAAGAAAAACATGTTCAAAACCTGGGTTACCAGAAAACCCTAATACCCTAACAAATTACGTATTGGTATGCACGTTCCAAAACATGGTACATTTCCGTTCCAAAATGATAAATTTAGTGATCCAAAGCGATTCCAAAAGTTTTTTTCAATATATGTCCTTAAATGTTACCTTAGGAGGAAAAATATCAAATATAATGAACTAAAATCTAAGGTGAGTTAAGTTTTGACAAGACAAAAATATGAACAAAAAAAAATGGGTCATAATGCTAATAGAAAATATTACATTTATTGGATGTCTAATAGTTTTAAAAAAATTATTTTAGAAGTACCTTAAATTTTTAAGTACAATATATGCAAGTCTACCCCTATCATACCACATTTTAGAGCATGTGGCGTACCACGTGCCCGTTCTCGTTCCCGTTCCACGTACTGGAACGATCCATGTCCCAGGTAACATAGTTCAGAACCCAGAAGCACTAGCATTAAAGACAATATCACAAATGTAATTGCTTCCAATTTTAAATCATGTAAAGAACAAAAATAAAAATAAAAATCACTAAGCTCTCATCATTCACTAAAAAAAAACATTTTTTACATGATTTGTGGACATGTATACAAGTATCGAATGTCAGTACTAGAACCAAATGTATGATATGGAAAACCCCACAATTCAAGACACGGGGAAAATGACTCATATTTGTATTCATCTAAGTTCCATTACCCTTGTACTAAATACACTCCTGTAACTTGGTAGACATCAGATGGGTAAAGAAATTTATAACTAGGTGAGGCCAAAGCCAATTAGCTGGTGTTGGTTCGACCTATTGAAAGCATTAGAAGAAAGTCAAATTTAAGCATAACTATATGGGTGAGAAGGAAATTACCTAGTGTTGATTTCTCCAATATGGGGAACAGATCAAACTAGGAACAAACCTCACATTTGGTGTAGGTACAAACAAAACCTTTCGTAATTTTTCAACAAAGTGACTATCTTCATGCCCAAACCTTCATACTCACACTTGATAACCCACATTTATCCATAATTTGGTAGAGCCATTCACATTGATTATGTTAGTGCAATCTATGAAGCATTGACGCTTCAAAACGAGTGTCATAGCCGTATTGGACACGCAGGCATTGCGGGGACACGTATAGGACACGCCACATGTCGTGTTCCCTTATTTAATTAATTCATTTTTAGGGGACACGTGGCACCACTTCGGGGACACATATAGGACACACGGCGTGTCCCCTTATTTATTTTCAAAACAAGTGCTTTTAGTGAATGTTGGACGTTTACAGTGTTTTAAAAGGCTCTAGGCGCACCGAGGCGATACGGTCTGCTATAGCCTAAGCGCGAGGCGCGAGGTGAAGCGCGTGCCTCACCAAAGCGAAGCTCAAGTAGTAGAAGAAAAGCAAAACTATAAAATAGGCAAATTTTTCAACATAACAAATATATATATATATATATAATAATCATAACCATTTTCGATAATCTCTAAACATAACATTCAACCTTCTAAAAATTAGAAATATAATATCCAACAAAAGATATAAAGTATAACATTCAATCTTTTATCAGTTTTTGCTCTCTTTTGACTACATTTGGTCATTTTATATTGAATAGTTTTGAATCCCTGTGGGTATGTCCACAAAAAAAGCACTTAATCAACAATTGGAGTAGAAAAATGGGTAAAGCCCATGAAGCCCACGCCTTGCGCCTCAAAAAAAGCCCTCGCCTCAGCGCCTAAGTTGTGCCTCGCATGTTGCGCCTCGCCTCGATCTGTTCGAAGCGCAAGGTTGCACCTCATTGTGCCTCGCGCTTAGGCGCGCGCCTAAGCGCGCCTTTTAAAACACTGGATGTTTATTCTTTTTTTCTTAGATTTAAATAATTAATAGATCATCTATAAAAAAAAAAGCAAAGAAGACATAAATGATAAGTGTTAATTTAAAAGTTTTTTTTTTCAAAGAATTAGTGTTAGATTTTGTTAATTTTGATTGTTTGTAGATGTAATATTAATCTACATAGCAAATAAAAATATATGAAAAAATATTTTATTGTTGTGTCACCACCGGGTCCGTGTTGCATTTTTTGAGATCACCGTACCCCATGTCCATGTTCATGCTTCTTAGAGTGCAATTAAGCATATAAACAAAAATAAATGATAGGGATCATTCTGAAGTATTTACAATTCATTTAAAGCTTCAATAATTACTTGAGTACATGGGCTTATGGACCACTTGTTTCCAAGTTGAATCTGGAGGTATGCAGAAAAGCCTCTTTTTGAGCATGGTGTTTTATTTTTGAACTCAACTTCCAGTTGCAGCCAACAAAGCACCAATAGGAGGGGAAAAAAATAAGAATTCCACTCTAATGGACACATCCTCTGAAGACTCAAGAACGCCTAGGCTGCTTCAAGTGACAGGACAGGACAGGACAGGAAAGGAAAGGAAAGGAAAGGAAAATCATTTTCTTTTACTGTCATGTACACGTGTTCAATTGTTGCAAGAAAATGTAGGTTCCACCATAACTATTTTCTTTAAGGAACTAGTTTTCCTCAAATCCTTTCCTATAAAAAGTACAGGATTCAGCATCGCGGAAAAGTTGAAATTATTTTTTTACATAAATTTTCTTTCAAACTGAATAAATAACGAGAAAACAAATTATTTCTATTTTATTTTCCTTTCCTTTATGTCGAACCATTTTCTCAAGAAACATTTTCCGGTCACAATATATGCCTGACATCAAGTTGTGGAAGGGGGCTATTCTTTTTTGACTTTTTCTTTACTGTTTGTATTAGAATGAGTCTTCATGAGACAATTTTTCTACATTTCAAGTGGATTCAAAGCCTCATAGAAGGATCTGCCTTTACAATCTTCACTTTCTAGAGTTGTTGCCAGGTGTTTCACATATAAAATATTTTTCCAACCAAAGAATTTTCTTTCACATATTGCAAGGCCTTTAGTTTAAAGCTACTATTGAAATGTCTTTGTGAGAATATATTATATATATTCTATATTAGGCATAGTTCTGATTGTATATAGTAGGCTTGATTTAGGCACGATTGTAATTATGTTATATTAGGTATGATTGTGATTATGTAATCTTTGTATTTCCTCTTTAGTTTTAGGTAACAGGTTACATATACTGAGGTTTTGATGTAACTATATATACAATTGAATATACAAATTTCTCATAAAACCACTTATTAGGCATAGTTCTGATTGTATATAGTAGGCTTGATTTAGGCACGATTGTAATTATGTTATATTAGGTATGATTGTGATTATGTAATGTTTGTATTTCCTCTTTAGTTTTAGGCAACGGGTTACATATACTGAGGTTTTGATGTAACTATATATACAATTGAATATACAAATTTCTCATAAAAATCATACTTTAATTTTAATTTTAAATTAAAATTAAAAATAAAAAACTACAACCAAAACATTTCAAATACCATCAATTCCAAACATGGTTATTGAGAAGTTGGCAATGGCAATTTTTTTTTTTTTTTTTTTTTTTTTTTTTGATCAGCAACAGAAAAGAAAATTTTTATTAAGGCACAAGGCCAAAAAGAAAGAGAGGATGAGGCATCCTCAACAAGGAAAAAGAAAAAATACATCCAAAGAAGACAGACAAAACCAAAAGACCACCAACTACATATTATTCAAAGCAAACTGACACCCAATCTGAAGCAATAAAAAACAAAGGGATCCCACGGAACACAGGACTCGTCGAAGCCCAAAAAGATGCCATGTATCTCACTCTATCCCATAAATAATCTATATCACTATTTCCTCCTTCGAAAATACGCCCATTCCTCTCCAGCCAAATGACCCAGGAGATTGCAAAGACTACACAACTCCAAAGAACTTTAGCCCCCTCTTTGACATTCCAAAAACTTGAAAATCAAATAACAGTATTTGAGCAACTCCTTTAGGAGCCACCCACTGTACATTGCCCAAACCAAATGCCCCATTCCACAAAAGCCCTGCCACCGAACAATGCCAAAAAAGATGATCCAAAGATTCTCCACTTTTACAACACATTATGCACCATTGAGGATTAAGATACCATGAAGGTCTTCTCTTTTGCAATGAATCATTTGTCAAAGTGCCCCCATGAACCAAGATCCACATGAAAACTTTCACCTTAAGAGGAGCACATGCCTTCCAAATCTTTTTGCGAAACAAAAATTGAGGTACATGCGGAATATTAATGATTTTATCCAGAAAGGATTTGCAAGTAAAAGATCCTGACGAATGAATATTCCAAAACCATCGATCCTCCAAAATTGGTGACAAAGAAACATTTTCAAGCCTTGACAATAAAGATATCAACTCGGGAACTTCCCTATCATGAAGATGACGGGAAAAATTAAAATTCCACGAGCAAGGAGCCAGCGAAAAAACAGCCACGGACGAAACAGAACAATTATGAGATTGAGAAACTCTATACAGAAGCGGATAGGATTCAACAAAGGACAAAGAACCCGTGTCCCCCTTACCCACCCTCACAGAAATGAATTGGGACCAAATTGGATAAATATGAGAGATAGACTTTCGCGGAGCACGCCCATTACCCCTAGAAACCACTCGAGAGTCCCTACCATTAACATGCAACCCATATTTACTTTTGATAACTGCATACCATAATGAATCACGCTCAATTGGGAATCTCCATAACCACTTGCCTAATAAAGCCATATTTCTAGCCAGTATATTACCAACTGCCAAGCCCCCCTTCTCCTTTGGTAATGACACTATTTCCCATTTCACCAAATGATCCTTCCTTCCTTCATCCTTCCCTTCCCACAGAAAATCTCTCATTAGCTTTTCTATGGTTTTTGCTACCTTGACCGGAATCTTGAACAAAGACAAGAAATAAGTAGGAATCCCACTCAACACTGTCTGAACCAAAGTGTACCTACCCCCACGGGACAATAAGGCCCTACTCCACCCTTCTAACCTCTTACCTATCCTTTCTACCACTAGATTCCCAAAACTGTCACCTCTTGGGTTACCTCCCAGTGGGAGGCCTAAATACTTCATAGGAAAAGTCTCAATTGCACAACCAAGCAAATCGGCCACACTTTGAATTAGTCTAGGATCGGCATTAATACCCGCCACCCTACTGTTTTCTAGGTTAACCTTAAGCCCTGAAATCACCCCAAAGGGCCTTACCACAGAAAAAAGGTTTGCCACTTGGCACTCGTCCCCCGTAGAGAAGAAAATAGTGTCATCCGCAAATTGCAAATGTGACACACTAATTCTATCTCTACCAACCTGTAAGCCTTCAAATAGGCCTACCTCTTTAGCTCTGTCAATCATCCTACCTAACACATCCACTACCAAAATGGATAGAAAAGGAGATAAAGGGTCTCCCTGTCTCAACCCTTGTGAGGCCTTAAAACACTTCCCTGGCTTACCATTAACTATCACCGACATATTACAAGACACCAAACAACCCCTAATCCAAGATCCCCATCTCACATCGTACCGTTTCTTATTCATCACGAAATCTAAAAAATGCCAATCTACATGATCATACGCTTTCTCAAAATCTGCCTTGAACACAATGCCTACCTTCCCCGACTTCCGACACTCCTCTATCACCTCGTTTGCCACCAGAGCCACATCTAGAATCTGTCTACCTTGCACAAAAGCCCCCTGTGTCTGAGAAATTGTATCCCCTACAGAACATCTCAGCCTTTTTGACAATACGTTACCCAAAATCTTGTAGAGTGATGTAATCAAACTAATGGGTCTAAATTCTCCCATTCTAATGGCTCCTTACCTCTTAGGAATCAAACAGATAAAAGTGGCATTTGTACATAAATTAACCACCCCTGTCTCGTAAAACTCCATGAAAACTCTTACCAAATCCCCCTTCACCACCTCCCAGCAGTCTTGAAAAAACCACCATGGAAACTCCATTTGGACCCGGAGCCTTATCCCTTTCACACTCAAAAACTGCTTCCCTAATCTCGTTTTCCTCAAAAGGTCGCTCTAACCACATCCAATTTCCTGATCAATAGGCTGCCACTCAAGCCCGTCTATCCCAGGCCTAACAATATCATCCGCCGAAAACAAATTAGAATAAAAATAAAAAATCCCCTAAACTATTTGCTCCTCTATCCACCACTATACCTGGCCTTACTTCCAATCGCTTAATGAATTTCTTCTTCCTTTTCCCATCCGCAATTCTATGGAAATTTTTTGAACTAACATCCCCTTCTTTTAGCCATTTCACCTTTGCTTTTTGTGCCCAAAAAATCTGCTCCCTAAGATTCAACTCTTCCAATTTCAAACCTAACTCCCTCATTTCTCCCCTCAAGGCCTCAATCTCACTCCCTTGCATCTCCAAAGTATCTATCTCCTCAATCCTGCACAAAACCTGACATTTAGTTGATTCCAAGTTCCCGAAAACCTCCCTATTCCACTGTTTCACATTCTTTTTAATCACTTTCAACTTTCTCATGAATCTATAACCCTCCCATCCCTGACAAGTAGCAGAATTCCACCACTCCTCAAAGGCCTTTTTAAATGAATGATGTTCCAACCGCATACTCTCAAATCTAAATGGAGTCGGACCCCACCTAAAAGGACAACTCTCAAACATCACTAGACAGTGATCAGATACCAATCTTGGTAATGCCTCCTGCCTCAAAGGCCTCTTTAAATGAATGATGTTCCAACCACATACTCTCAAATCTAAATGGAGCCGGACCCCACCTAAAAGGACAACTCTCAAACACCACTGGACAGTGATCATATACCAATCTTGGTAATGCCTGCTGCCTGACATTGGGAAAAACCCCCTCCCACCCCAAAGAAAATAAAAATCTGTCCAATCGACAACATACCCGCCTTTCCCTTAAATTAAACCATGTGAACCTAGCATTAAATAGAGGGTCAACCAACTCGCACCCTCTAATAAAACCATCAAAATCTCTCATACTCCTATTGATTCTGTTCACATTAAGCTTTTCCGAAACCTTCCTAACCACATTAAAATCCCCCCCTAAACACCAATTAGGAGAGCATAACCCAAATAAACCAAATAACTCATCCCACCAATCCTTTCTCCTAGAAGGGCCATTTGGACCATATACCCCCGACAGCCACCACTCACAGAGATCTAGATTCCTAAACCTAATTGATAGTGAAAACTCCCCGACTACTGATTCACACTCTGACACAACCCTCTTATCCCAGATACTTAAAATACCTCCTGACCTTCCCACTGACGGTACAAAAGCCCACCTTTTATGTCTAGTTCCCCAAATACTTTTAATAAAAGTCTTACCACAAGCCTCTACTTTAGTTTCTTGAAAAATGACTATGTCAGGTTGATGTGTCCTCAAAAAACCCCTAATGATCCCCCTTTTCTTTCGGGATCCCAAACCCCTCACATTCCAACTAACAATCTTCATTGATAATCATTGTCACCCCTAACCTCCACATGCCTTCTGTCGTAATTAATTGTACTCACCAAATTCCTTAACTCCCTGGCCCCCTTTCTAACTGAAACCCCTCCTCATCTAGTACTCTCTCCTCTAGTGACACTATTATCCACTCCACTACCATCACCCTTTACCGTTTAAACTTACTAGGGGCAGCCCCATAACTTGAAGCAAATGCTTGAAATGGGGTACTTCATTCTTCTCAATTGGACATGACGCATACTTGCTCAACTCCATCAACCAACGCTCTGTCTCTACCTCACTATCCCTCAAACTACTAAAAACACAGCCTCTTCTGTGCAAATGCATTACAGAAGCTCCCTTTTGAGCATCATTTACTTGGCCTGCATTTATATTTGCATTATAGGATACAGGGTTAGTGATAGGAACATCCCTCATGGCTCCCGAGATATCTGGAGTGACTCCTCTATCATCCCTTCCCCTAACAGAACACTTGAGACCAAGACACTGAGAAACCCCTATCCCATCCTCAAGAGAAAGAGTCAGGAATAACAATGTGACCCCTCTGTGATGACAGTTCTGTATAGTCATGATGAACAGAGTCACTGACATGATCCATTGTTTCGGAGACCTCAAATTCATCCTCCTTGATAATGTCGTTCTCAGTTTTGTCCTCCTCAATTCACACCCTGAACTAGAGTCATACTCTGAACTCTCCTCAGACCCAGACCCATAAATATTCAAGGCTTGCAACACTTCAGTAGGCTCGAAACACCCTTCATCCACCTTTCGACTGAACAATTCAGCATCATTCTCTTCTTCAATTCTTTCATCGACCCATTCATCCACTTCCGCCGCTAGTCTCTGCTCTCCTTCAACAGAGTCGTCCACCCTATCAGAACCAAGCTGAATCTCCTCCTGCGTTAGTCAATCCTGACTGTCCCTCTGTAAATACCCATCACCTTCGCCATCGACACCTCCTTTCGTGCCAAACAACAGCTGTCACTGGATCTCTCTCGCTCCAAGTGGTTGTCCTTCGTCTTCGATCAAATCAGGTCGAACTTCAGCTCCCAATGGTTGAGACTCAGCCCTAATTCCCTCCTCCAAGATATGAGCCCCATTCATATAACCCACTGGGCCCAATTCATTTGAATTGAGCTCGTCACTTCTATTAGGCCCACCATTATATTCCTTGTATTGTTTAGAAAATGGCCCATCCCTTGGAAAAACAGAAATGGGCTTTTGATAATTAAACTCCTGGCCCACATGTAGTAAATCACTTGAACCCAAAATTTTACTCGGCCCATCATGTTCCTTCTGTGGCCATTCAATATAATTTTGATCCCCCTATCTCTTGGTCTTCCCCCTACCTCCACTACATCACCGAATCTGTCCCCAGACCCTTCAACTCCTTCGCCCCTTCGACTTCCCCTAACCAAGCTTCCACGTGTCCTCCCTGACCCATCAGCTTCCATGTCATCGGCGATGGGATCGCCTGAAGGTGCTGGTCGGAAAACCTTTGGCCACGTTTCCACTTGGCGGCGCACTGTCTTGGACAAAGATTTTAGACGAACCATTGACGATCGTCCTTCCACCTTCACCTCCATGAACGCCGGCAGAAAACCAGAGTCGAAGCCTCTGACTTTCAACCTAGCCTCAAAAAGATTATCCAAAGCTATGGTTCTTCGATCAACTTCCAACAAACCACCACATTTCTCTCCTATGATCTGGAAAACCTGATCATTCCAAAAGGTAAAAGGCAGATCGCACACTGGCAAGTTGAAAAAAAAGATTAGCATCCATTACACTGGCAAGTTGAAAACGAGTTGAGAAATACCTAGGTGTAGAAGTTATTATTAAGGATGGGATGTTGGGGTTAATAGTAGGGTTGTTCATTATACCTACTAACCCGCATAAATCGTCCGACACAGACTGCCTCATGATGCTAGAGACAATTTCGAGCAAGTGAATGATTGGCTACGGTTTTCTAATATATTATTTCACCAGTTTGCGGTCGGAAATGGATACAAAAAATACACACCTGACCAAATAAATATAATTATATAGCATTTTATACTGGTGGCCTTGGAAGTACACTTGTGCTAGTCTGAGTTCTCTATGACAGACTGCTACACTTTCTCATAACCATTCAATATCTTTCTCTCATAAACCCAAAGACTTTCCCAAAAAACAAAGATACTTTCTATCTCACTCTCTCTCACTTTCTCCTATTTTTCTTCATAGCCATTCAATGTTTTTCACTTTCATAAACCCTAAAAGTCTTTTCTAGAAAACTAAGAAGACTCTCTATCTCTCAGTCTCTCTTCACTCTATAGGTCACTCACACTCTGTTTTTTCTTCTCTCCATGGAGTCTTAAGAAATATTCTACCTCTCACTCTCCCTCTCTCATCTCTGCTTCTCTCTCTTTTCCCTCCCATCTTCAATCTTCCTCCCCTCTTTAATGGTGGTGGTGACAGTGACAGTGACAGTGACAGTGGCAGACAAGGGTGATCGTGACGGCAAGCATTGGCGGTCATGGTGGTTGTAGATGCGGTTGCGATTCTCTCTCTCTCTCTCCCTTTTCCCTCATTTTCTTCCTCCACTCTCTCCTGCACAGATATGTAAATATACACACACACACACACATATATATATATATATATATAAGTTTTAAGGTGTATTGTTTTGAAATTTGAATTTCATTTTTTATAAATTTTTTTCTACTCTTTCTCTACCTTTGCTGGATCTTCAAAATCGATTGAACTGACTATTAAACCGAGGTCTATGATTCGGTTGATTTTGAACAGTATATCGATCAATAACGGGGTGATTGATTTCTTCACCTGATGGTTCGGTTCGGCCGGCGGATTAAGGGTAAACCCGACCCGACTCAACTCGTGAACACTTGCAGTTAATATAGCATGCGTACAGGGGACAAAAGAAGACTCACAATTCCACTAGTCATCGATTATGGGACTCGAAATTTTGGTCAAGCAATACCACAAAAGAATTTTGACGCTGTGAGTACTTATACCGCCCCGACATGTGGTGAGCCCTACGAGCACCACGATATTATCACCATGCCTCTACATGACAAAGCTCGGAGACCCGACGATGTCCTCACAAGACAAATTGAGGTTGTATGCCTAGCTTAAGTATACACACCAAGTATGGATGCTTAGCTCACTAAAGCAGGTGCTGCCCTAACAGGCAAGCGCTCCAAAGTGAATGAGTCAAAGTATGAAGAGCACAATGCATGGTTGGGAGCATATGTGGCAAAGCCGAGTTCACTGCTTAGCCATAACCTACTCAATAACACCATGGCTCTAGAGCACCCAGCTTGCCTAGAGCCTATGTTGCCCATTGTTCTTTGTACCTCATTCTTTCTAGGAACACTCGAGAATGACTATCTCGACTCAATCAACATAACCTGGTCCTCAGCTTGCCTATGTCTCCCTTATGCACTCCCTATGTCTCCCTAGGCATTCACTACTCGAGATCATTTAAGGATTATAGATTGGAGGCTAGGATCAAGGGTTTGTCAAGGATAACTGGCCACCCTAAGAAAATAACTCCACCTTGACTAGGCTTAACGAGAGGGGACATTGACCTTTCACTCTCGCCTGCTACATGCCTTGATACACCTCCCAAGATATCATACCTACCCATGCAACTCCTATGATGACCTAAACAGTGAGTAATTTAAGCTTTAACAGTTAAATTAAGAGCTAATAGGTATAAGAAGGGATTAAAGTTGATTTGGGGGTGAATGGATAGGGCTTTGAGGTTGAAAAGTGCACTTTTCGAAGGTTGTGAATAGTAACCCGATAATAATAACCAGGGTATGTGCGTAAAGAAGAAGAAAGAGAAGAAGAAGAAGATAGGTTTAGGAATCCCTTCGTTATTATTGGGTTACTAAGAAAGCTTTCTTAGTTATTATCAAACCCTAATGGATTTTGGAGCTTTCACAGTCCATAAGAAAGCTTCAAAGCATTGAAATATTTTCAATATATCGACTCCATTAAATTATAAGCATTAGATGGCTTTATATAGAACTAGGAGACTTCCTAAACCAACTAGAATAAAAAAAAAAAACTACTAAAACTATTTTTGACTTCCAAAACCAACTTAAGACCAAATAAAAAGCATAAATAAAAACCAATTAAATAACTAGACCCATAAGACAACTCATGGGCAACCGCTGCAGCCCATGTCAACAAATTTGAAACTACTAAAATACCTTTGACTTAAAAAGACTAGAAAACAAAAAAAAAAAAATCATAAAATTAGACTCTAATAATACTATAAACATAATTATATA